TGGGTTGAAAAGGCGGGAAGGGATATCGTTAGGATAGACAGACTAGGGAAGACATTTTTGAGCCACCTTTGGCAAAGTAGAAAGGAACGATTGGCCATCGGTGATCGGTCCTGTGGGAACAATGCTCCGTCCTCTCGAGGACGCGTGGTCAATGGTCTAACCGCCAAGGTATGCAAAACATAAGGGTACGCCCCCCCCCCCCAGACAGGAAACCACACTACTGCTTCTTCGAAACAGATTCTATAACGCTGACATAATATTGCCCGGCATGTCGACCGTTCCGCCTCACGGTAAGAACCAGTTCCTGGACTTGCTAGTATCACGGTTTCACTCAAATAATTCTGGAGAAATACTGCCCGGGTTTGCGGGGATTTGTTTGGCCTGCGGTATGACGGCACGATCCCTTCAACAAACGCCCACTACGGGACACCGGACATCCCGTATATAGCGGGTGCACCAGCTGCGGGTGCCCGTCGCATTTCCGCCAATGCTGGCGAGCAGTAAACCCGGAGAAGGACTGGTCGAGGGACCAACGGGGAACAACCGTTTGCTCCCCCCNCCCCCCCCCCCCCCACTATTTCAACCCACAACCCGCGAAATCGTTATCAGCATGAGCTTCACGACAGAGTTGCCGGCAGCTTGGCGCGTTTCTTTCTGATGCAGGAACGGGCATCCTAAGGAGCGCGAGGGTCCATGGTCTGGGGACTATTAATGCTGCACCTCATTCGCCACCGTGAGGGTCCTAACTCAGCTCGGCCGGCTATTTCATGTAATTTCATCCTCTTGGACGACTGTATTGTTTTGCGGAAACCTACTTAGGCTCTCGGTGTCGGGCACGAGTACGTGCAGGAGCGGCGCCTTAGTGACCTGCTCCGGTTCGAGCTGCAGGAGAACATCCGCCAAGAGGAGGAGCGCCGGTGAGATGTCAAGTCTCATGTCTACTCCTGCAGTTACATAGATTGTTGCTGCTGCATTGTCGTTGTTGCCGTCACAACTGTTGTTACGGCACTTCCGCGACTTCTGCTGCTATTTTTGCGCCCTTGTTCCCTCGTCGTTGTGTACTTGGTTGTCATGACTCAATGGCAATATGGCGTGGGAATGGGAGAGTGAAGGTTGTTCGTTAATAATGAAACAACGCGATTTTGGGCGAGGGCATGCGCGTGGGAGCAGTTTCATTTTGGGCTGAAATCTATGATAATGATGATTTTCGCGATATGTTCAACGGTGGTCCTGCTGTGTGTGAAAAGAGGACCCGGCTTGGATTATTCAGGGCGGGAATTATTCGGAAGAAACCAACCGCGGATGAATGCGAGAAGAAACGGGGCTATACCCTGCCTGACGCTATAGACTCCATGACCTTCCCCCCCCCCCGGCAAATAACAATAATAGTAGCGTTGCGGCTACGGCGAGAGCTGCGGCGCGGAGGGCAGAGGAGGCTGGAAAAAAGAAGAAAGCTAAAAAAGTTGGCAAGGAGAAAAAGCGCACCAACCCGGAAGACGATGGAGAGTCATCATCACAGCAGGCAGAGGGCCGAATGAAACTTTGATATGGAGGGCGGGAGACAACACAGGGAAAAGCATGCATCGAACCAGGAAAACACCTCGAGCAAATAATCAATTGGCGATTCATTGAAGGCTGCGGAGGATTGCGTGTTCCGCAGGGAGCAAATAGGTTTGGTGTGGCGTGGAGCATGACACGTGTGTATGTAGTGGATGGATACACGTGCGCCAAGTGTTTGTAAATACGCTACATCGTCTACATAGACTAGTCTGGAGCTTTGTCTAGACCACGACCCTTTCCTGTTATTCCCAAGCAAGCACGAGACGAAAACAGAACGAGTAGCAACAGCGAACGATGCCCTGTCGATCCCACACTCGATGATGGACGTCTAGCGGCAAATCCTCTGGACTGTTCTGCATACTCTGTGGCTACTCAGCGAGTCAAACACTGCCACCTAGACCGAGATAAGGTAGCTTGTGCAGCAAGCGGAAGAGGACCACAACGCGTAATGACCGCGAAGAAAGAAAGCCCGCAGACAAACAAAAATGGAGATGGGGGGAAGGAATCCTGGCGCTGGAAAACGAGACAATACACGTGAAAGGTTTTCCCTTGTGAACAAATGGTTGTTGGCGAAGCTTCCCATCAATGCCCTACGGTGAGTGTTTTTCTTTCCTCCCTACAACGTCTTTCGTGGTGTATCGGAAGCAGGCGCGAAAAGGCTTCACGGCAATATCAGTTGACAACAGTCAGGGTGCCTCCCGGAAGAGTCATTGCGTTTTTGGTCCCTTTTTCATTGCTTACGAAACAAGGACATGGAACAGATGAACACGCCCCCACATTGGCACCGGCCGCCCCGGTGGTCTAGTGGGTAACCTCGCAGCCTCCTAAGGGCCAGGTCATGGGGTTCGAGTCCCGGCAGAGTGAGTTTTTGTCTCACTAAATAGATCCTGGTCTTAAGTTGGAAGCGACGCGCTGCACAGCTCGTTGTTAGTAAACTTGATCGACTTCGTAAGTCGCGAGGGAAGGGATTGCTGTACCCTTGTCGCGATAAAAATATCTCAGACAGGAACCGCAGGAGGGGGTCCACCCCCCCCCTCCTATGTGACCCCGGTTGAGTCGTCTAGCTAGTAGAAGTTGAGGATGGGGACCAAAGGGGCAGACGACAGAGTCCAATGATAAAGAAAAAAAAAATTGGCGAGGCGCAATGTAAGCACACCATGGATGGTGTTGAGTTTTCCCACGTGTTCACGGCAGAGCATCTACGACACGTCGTCCACCGCGAACTTTCAATTTGTCTCTGTGGGGCAGAATGTACAGAAGAGCAGCAATGTGTGGGAATACTGCTACCGTAGCGCAAGATTTGTGCGAGTCCTCAAGTGAAAAACGTTTCCCGAACGAAAGCGTAGTCTAGACTATCATAATAGTTGCAAGGCTTATCCATGCCAATACATACATGTGCCGCGCTCGTGATTTGGGGTTTACCCACATGGGCCAGGGGAGACTTCAATGGGTGATGAGTTCGACGGGTGTAACGAGGCGCACCCTGATGGGTTGCTTGCAACCTTACGGGGCAACTTTTCCCGCCCTTTGTGCACAAATCAAGCCCTCATGGAACACTGACGCTTTGCTCTAACGGCTGAAAGAAAAGCGGCAAGAAATATAGTGGGAAAAACGTGTGGTCATGGACAGTGAGACCAACGCGACTGTCTATCGCCGAAGTACCGTTGACAGTCAACGGGACTCCGGGACCTTCCCACAAATACCGTATACGACACAAGATTACACACCACCTGGGCTTGATTTTATCAACAACAGAAAGAGTGGAGGTGCCGAAAACGGCGGCGTTGAAGCCTTCTGGTCGAGCGCTCCCCGAAAATGTGTCGTTTCGTGTATGCATCCTCTTGATCGTGGAGTAATGGAGCTTTGAAAATGGGTCCAGGGGGTGTGTTAACTTGTGTCGTATACGGTAGTTTAACCGTCGAACGGCCCGATCAACGACCAACGAGAAAAAGAAGTAACCCCCATGCGCTGAGCAGCGACTAAAACGCGTTCCAATGTGAACGCAGACAATTTTCTCCCGCTGTCGGGACGACGAGAGCATGGCCACAGAGTTGCGAATTGCGCCTCCTCGCCAGAGGCCCGACACACAGGGGTACGCAACTCGCCATTTTGTAACATTGAGTGGCCCTCGTGCGTGTGCGGGTGTTGCACGAGTAATATGGCGATGGTATCAACCGTAAGCAGCACACGAAGCATTGACAAATAGTGCAGAAAAACAAACCATTAATCCCACCGGGAACAGCTTCTCTCTCGCGTTGACGGAAAAAACTCTACGTCAGGAGAAATATAATACGGGATGCAAGGCGCACATATCTTTTTTCAATGAAGGCGCTGTTCGCCCGAGTCTATGAAATACCTGGCATAGCAGCCAGAGCAGCGTGGTGCCCTGCCATCTCATTCATCTAGCGTAACTGACGCCAGTCACGCCATACTGTACAGACATAAACGAGGCTTCCATTCGCGAATTTTTCTCGTCTTGCTTTGCCGCAGGAACGAATACGTACATACAAAACCATCTATCTAGTTCTCTCCAAGGCCAAGGGTTGGCCAATCAGAGGTTGCGAGGACAACAAGCCTCTTTCACAATTCAAGACGTTTGTTGCGCAACGAGTCATTCTTCCCGGAACACCTTATCCTAGCCAGAACGCTCATGTGCTTTCGTCAGAAGAAGACACTCCGCCACACTTTGGACATGTCGGGCAGGATCATGGGTGTGTTCTCCTTCCATTCGCGATACCTGGGGCAGCGCATAACAGTATCGTAGAGACGCGTCGAGGTGGGTGAGGAAGGGCACACCGCCAGCCAACGCCGATCACGCCCCACGGTCCAAAGCATGCGAGGCATGCAGTTGAGCCCAAAGCCTTCTAAAAAAAAATACAACTTAATCTCGCAGATACGTTGACCAGCCAAATGCTCAAGGTCCCACTCGAGGAAAACGTCCCAAAGGGCGATATCGATTCCACCGCCACGCCGATCGTGTGGACAAAGAACCCCGCGCCCGCTCCACACTTCTTGCAACGGCGGAAATCATACCTTGGATCGCCGCCGTACTTTTCATCGTGCTGCTGCTCCAGCATGGGGACTCCGCTCACGTACATGATGAGGGCGGTGATGAACGCCGGGCTAGCGAACCCAAGCGCAATTCTTCCGGGACCCCTAAGGGAACAAGGCGTGACAGACGCAATTCGGTCAAGTCAAGGTGTGCGAGATAAAGAAAGGAACGAGAATTCGAAGGAATAAAATCATCCTTCCTTAGCAGGCCGGAGAAACCGCTGATGTCATTCCGCGATTAATTCGACAAGACTCCGATTCATATTTCAACAGGTATTTTTACTTGAATCAGTGCTCATTCCAAAGGAGAGTGAATTCTTGACTTGAAGAAGCATGGGGATGGGGTTACCGTGCCTTTTCAAGGTGCGACGAGTACGCTATTAATAGACGTTCACATGCCGGACGAGGGCGCTTCGTTGCGCCATACCAACCTGTCAAGACGAACCCCTTCCACGGTCATGAACCGGCGCAGGACCACGCGTGACGGGCTTTGGTGTCGTGTGTGGCTAGCAAACGATCAGGCATACCCCTTAAACAAGAACATTCAGAAAAATATCCCAAAAAAGTTCCACTCGAGCACCAACTGATGGACAACCACCGCATACAAATACACTCACGACCTGGCATAGAAAGCGTTAGATACATTCCACCAGCTATATTTGCTTAGCATGATTTGTACTTAACGTAGTACTTAGGTACGTACGCTGTCCCAAAACACCGTGACCACCCTTAAGTTACATCGGGGCGAATCATGTTCTGCACTCTCGTGCCCACCTTAACGCGGGAAGGGCCACGCCGAGGATAGCCCACCACACACCCATTTCTCCCAGGTAGTTGGGGTGTCGTGACAAGCTCCACAGCCCAGAGGTCATGAACTTCCCTTTGTTGTCGGGATCATTCTTGAATTGAAACTTCTGCGGATGGGAGAAAAAGGGGAGGGGGTGAGAGCAATGCCGGACGTTTGCAATACCGATGTGGTATTGCAGAAGGTTTGCGGCGTCAAGGATCACGAGCTCGAACACCATGTATTCAGAGAGTGCAGGCTACCGGAAGCATACGTCTCAAAGCAACACATTTTCTGCTATTGGCTCTGCTACTTTATCCAGAATCTCTGCTTTCGGTGCGAGCAGAGAGTCTGATGCAGAGATTACCACAAGAACCATCAAAACAGAACCGGTGGGATGCGGTGGAACGGTAAGTGAGGTTGTGTCTTGCCACTTTTCGTGCGGCAGTATTGTCGCCGAGTTCATCTCTCATATGCACCCCATTTCACAAACAATGGTCGTACGATAACATGAAAAAAAAATAAAGCACCTGGTAGTCCGCCACCGTCTCCACAGCTAACCCGGTGGCCGCTAGACCAAGGCACGCCCACCCTCCCACTCCCATCGGCACCGCCCTCGCCGGCGAGAAGTTGGCAAGCGTAACCGGTAGCGATACCACCCAGGCCCACATCGCCTTAGGAGACAAGGAGAACAGGAGGACGTCCAGCGTTCTTCGGTTAGTGTGTTTGGGTGAAAGAGCGATGGAGACATAAAATTTGTGCAGTCGGTGGGTTGGCTGTTGGAGTCTCGCGAGGTGTCTTAGTGCTGTCAGTTGTCACTCTTCACGCCTTCGGCATAAACGAAATAAAAAAAAAGACTCCGCGGTACTCCTGTAAGTGTGTAAGCTGAGCTAGCCGGAAAGAGCTGATTTTTTCATGTATACAAAGCTAACAAATACAGACCCTTTCTGACGGGGGGGGGGGG